AAATGCTCTTAAAAGTGCAAAAAATGCCCTTAAAATGAGAAAATTGCGCTAAAAATGCCTTATGACATGACTTAAATAGAAGTAAAAATATTGAACTAAAACAATGTTTTACTCTTTAAAATTATTATGAGTCGTTTCAAAAAATATAAAGCAATGCAATACTTGTTCTACGTTCATTAAAGTTTGACAAATATGTTTTATATCCAAAAATAACAAAAAAAAAGGAAAATATATTGACTCCAAAACATTTTCATTTTGTATAGAAACTTAAATGAATATAACAACTTCCATCTCATAATATTACTAAATATCAGAATTACAGTGGATTATTAATTTTTTTTTTAATATTTTGAAATGTAAACGAGCGTCTCTTGTCTGAAAGCAAATTTTTATACCAGGAGAAGCTTCTTTCAACGTCTACTGATGTTATTGGTGCGTACTTGAAAAGGACGGTCACACTTACTGACAATTCTTCTTCAATTTGAAAAGATGTTGCTTCACCTGTTAATATCCTAGAAATTTTCTTCATTGTTTGGAAGCCAGTGTAATAATAAAAAATTATAAAAAATAATGAAAATTAGAAAAATTTAACAAAAAATTTAAAAAATGCTTTAAACTGCAAAATACGCCCCAAAATTTTAAAGAAAATGCCCTATTAATCTCAAAAAATGCTCTAAAGGACAAAGAATGCCCAAAAATGCAAAAAATGCAAAAAAATGCAAATGTCATCAAAATCCGGGCCTTAGTAATGACCTTTCTTATAAAAGAACCATGATTCTGGTTGGTTAATAAATCTAAAATATATGGTATTTAAACAATTCAATTTGTTTCGTATGGTAAAGGTTTACTGGGAATTCTAGTTTTCGAAAATATTGTTCTTATTACCACATATTTAAAAAAAATACAGCACTGAAAAATAAATTTAACCGAATAAATAGTTTTTATTCCTTGCTCTAAGGTATCATGATGAAATTACCGAATTTTACCGCTTTTAAAAAATTTTGTCGCAGACTATAAATCCATATTTTATTATTAATTTTACAAAAACCATTACCGAAGCACTTTGTCAAAAACTATCGCGAATTTTGGAGTTAACTTAGAACCAGAAACACGGTAAATTTTATTATTTTTTTCTGGTAGTTTTTACCATTTTTTTTCCAGTTTAAGAAGAAGCACGAAATAACTCTTTATTACGTAGTAATATATACTGTAGTAATATAAATACTAAACAATCTAGTATGGTTTATGTTTCTTAATCAGTATTGTTTCAGTATGTAGCTCTCAATGAAATATCGAATTTTTATAATTTAATTTAACTCGATTTGGCTTTATTTTTTAAATAAAAAATTAAATTACTACACTTTTTTTAAACTTTTAAAGAGTTTTTCTTAACATGAATCTAAATATGATAGTAGGCGTATTTGTCATTTGTGTTATTTTCTTTTGAAATTAATTTTACTAAAAGCATAAAAGGAATTTATTTTATTGGTTCTAACTTTAAAGCATTTCAAATGGTAAATAAATTACGTTTGATTGCAGTCATTCACAATAATTTTCTTATTTGACTATGTAATATATTATACAATAAATTTACTTCATTATAAAAAAGTTTATTATAAAAATTTACTATAAAATACTTTACTTTATCATAAAGATTTATTATAAAATACAGCTTTTTGCACAGAAAATGCTTTATATATAATGGATCAGAATAAGTCGATGCAGTACCTTTTTAAAATGATCTAGCCTTTAAATGTATATCAAATCATTATCTTTCGCTTTTCATTTCAAAATTTTCGGAAAAACGAAGAAAAAAGAAAAAGGATTCTAAAAGAATTATTTATTATTTTCATTAAATATTCAAGCAAAATTTTGTAGAATATCTAATCACGAAAATTACAGTTTTTATAGTATTTCTGGTTTCGTAGCTTTTATGCAGATATGATAATTGGCGGTCATTGAATAATATACAGTTTTGGGAGAAATTTTCTCGCCAAAACCCTTTGATGTTGCTCAAATACTTAGGATTTGAAGTTGTCTGAGCGCTCTTTAGCAACGTTTCGTGTCGAACTTAATTTGGGCAATATTTTCTTTCATTTTAGCGAAATAATTGTCATCTAGAAGACATTAGTCTCTAACTTCGCGTGTTTCAGATCAGCACGCCACCGGTCCAAAAGTACCAAAAGAAAGAAAGAAAAAAATTCAGTAGTACCTAGAGCGTCACGCCATTATTACTACTTGGCGCTTTTTTTACTTTTATTTTTTTGTTCATCCTTGGTTTCCTTATCTACTCAAATAAGATCACAAAGATTGCAATAATAGTTGTTTCTTAAAGAAATGGAAGCTTAGAATATAGCTTAACAACAGAATAACGAATTATTATCAAGTTTCTGAGATATTGATTATTATATGAATAATTTAGGATTTTTAATTTCCATTCGCAAAATTTGATAACTTTCGATGACTTTAAACAGACATGCGCAAGCAATATTGGCTTCCTACGAGCTCAGAATATCGTTATATCTTGCTTAAATTGTAGAAGATATTCACCTATCTTTTAATAAATTTTTGCACTGTAAATGCATCTTTATTTCCTCCTTACGAGCCATAAGCTTATAAAATGTTCTTTAAATTTTGTTAATGACTTAAAGGTTGGCAAAAATTAGCTAATGTTCCTCTCCCAGACGTTCCTGAACCTGACGATAGAAAAAGATTTTGCAGTAAAATGGTTTTTTCATCCAGGGTGCCTGCTCTTTTTATCGTGAAATGATTTGGAATTTTTTTACTGTACTGTTATAATGCAAGATATAACACTTAGGCAGTCTTCAAAAAATTTCAAGCAAATTAAAAAAAAACCTTATTGTTTAAGCTGTGTCTTTTAACAAGTGTGTACCATAGTGTTTGGTAATGGCATTTCTGGTAAACAAAATACTAATACTGGATTAAAAATAAAAAAATAAAATATTTAAACCTTTCATTTGGTAAATTTTTCCTATTATATGGTAACGGTTTCCCGGAAATTCCAGTTTTCAAAATTGCATTAGGTGGACCGGAAAGTAATGTCGTTTCGGTGCATTTGATATCAGGATTTTATTTTTAATCGATAATGTATCCTCCCTCGTTAGCAACAACCTCTCAATGAAGGTTCGAAAATCGGTAAATTTTACCATGCTGGTAGTTCTAATCATACTTTTTTTTTCTTATCAGTGCAGTTTTATTTATAAAAACGATAATAAAAAGTAACATCTAGTGTAACTCCAGTTATCCAACGTTTCGTTTCATTGTTATTTCCAGGATAAGAAACGAATTTTAGAAGGAAAAAAAAATGGGATTATTTCCTTTTTCTTAAAATAAATAAATATCTATCTCTTTCGATTACTTCTTTAATACTGAAAAGGTCAGCAGCCTTTTCTAAACTTTTAAGGCTTTAAAAATGTTTAAAAAAGGCAGCGGAAAACTTTATAGCCACTTAGTTGTGGTAACCGTGCACTAAACGTCATTCCCGACTGTTACTCTTCCTTCCCGTCATTCCTGCTCACCAACACTAGAAGCACTAAAATCGTAGATTGGAATCTGCCTCGACTTTCCAAAAAAGTCATAAGTCACTCTAGCCAATGAATAGAGGGAGCTTGTGCAGGAATTAAACGTAACAGCTGTCGCAATGGCTTTTGGGTAGAAAAAAAAAGGAGTAAGATAAAGAAGGGAAGCGACTGGCGTTTTTAATTAAAAGAAAATGTTATTTTATTGTTGGATTTCAACTTGGGGACCGTTTTGTTGTTTACGCAGCAGAAGCTAAGCTTAGTTTTGTTTAATAAACAATACTGTCTTAATTAATTTTATAAGCTCTTTGACTTGTTTTTAATCTGCATGAAATTTTTGGGGTAGTTTAGGGCGCGTTGTTCTCATAACTGTTTGTTTTGAAAAATTCTTTCTTATTAGTTTTGTACTTAATAGTGCTGTAGCAAAACGGGGCATGCATTTATTTTTGTACTATTTTATGAAGCGTCAGTTAAAATTTGATTATATTGTGTTTGTGATTAGATATATACATTTATTTTCAGAATTTTCTAGTTTTGAGCACATAGTTAAATATGAGTTGTATATATATTTTCGAATTTAAAGGTAGTATTTTCATCATTTAGATATTTATAAAAAAATTTAGATCTTTAATAAATTTGTAAAAATTTTATTTTTTGTTGGAGGAGGATTTCGGGAAACGTTAAATAAAACACACTTGTTAAACAAGTACTGTGATTTCAAAAGACTTTCAATATTTAGAAACGAACTTGGCACTCTAACACATATTTTGACAGAAGCTTGTTTTAAAATTTAATAAATGTGATCGTGGTTGCTCAAAAATATCTGTAATAAAAAAGGGAATAAAAAAAATTATTATTTACTTACACAATCCTTTAAAAAATTAAATATACTCTTTATATTATCTTCATTAAATCATACAATCGTTATGAGTTCGCAAAGAATAAAAGCAGTCATTCTAACGCTCTAAATTGCAAAAAAAGAAAAAAAAATCATAGAAAAATTTATTGTAGAGAAGCATAAAAAAGGCCTTTCGTTTACACATTGTAAACAAAAATAAAACTACATTATTAATGACTATATTAAAAATTATTATTACATTATGTTCTGAAAAAGCTACGCGAAGAATCTAATGACAAAGACATTAATAAATCTACGTTACACTTTTGTTAACTACAAATGTTTGTGCTCTTATGTTCTGTTTTCTTTGAACAACATCATTACTTGTAAATGTTGAAAAAAAACATAAGTTAAACTTGTTAATGTATGCATCATTAAAACTTACATAATCTAATGATTTTATCACATACATTATTTGTGCTTCTTTGCATTTCATTTCACTTTATTATAATATTCCTCAAAAATAATTAAAATCGACGCTAGAAATTTTGAAAAGCAAATGGTATTTTAACTAGTTATTTTTATCAACATTAATTATGTTGCGAATTTTTTTTAGTTTCAACATGCATAACATTTCAGGTAATTTATAGGTACACCTCAAAATAATTAAATAATGCACCTCAAAAATAATTAAAATTTACGCTAGAAATTTTAAAAAGCAAATGGTATTTTAATTATTTATTTTTATCATTATTTATTATGTTACGAATTTTTTTTCGTTTCAACATGCATAACATTTTAGGTACCTAATTTGTACGAAAAGAGGTAAAGTTTTTTGAACGCAAAAAAAAAACCTGTTAAAAATTAAATCAAACTTGGTACCTTTGAGAATACCAAAACTATTTCTAATGGCTTTTCGGATTCTTATTAAATTTTCGATCTGGCAATTTAAGGCTCCAAAACATTCACCGCCCTCCACCCGAAACTATCTTCTTCTAATCAATCATTTAAGGTTAACCTGTTCTCTTTCGTTTGAAGCGGTAAGTTGTTGGTTATTGCATCAAAACAGCTAAAAAATAAATAAAAAAATAAATGTATAGGCAGAGTTAGGAAGAGTTGAGGTGTACGCTGTGATAAAAGAATCGTTAAGCTGAGCCCCCCTTAAATTGTGAGAGCAATTTTTTTTCTTCATACTTTTTTTATTCTGTGATGATTTTTTGTTCATTTGATGTTTAGAATTCCATCAACGCTTCCTCTTTTTCTTCCATAAAAAGTTAAATACTGACTTAATACGTTGTTGTATACTTTCAGAAAATGAAATCGATTTTGGTTTTTGTTATTTTGTCGATGTTTTGATAGCTGTTCCATGAAATTTGTAATTTTATTTTGCTGTCGTTTAAGGGTATAAAAATTCAGGTGTTATGATGTACCCGTGTGCATAAGCCTGTGTTTCCTATATTGCACACATGTAAAGGTGATTTACATGATACAACGTTAATTACTCTCTCAAATGCTGTGTTTTAGCACTTCTACATTGCTGTATTTAGTAAACCTGGTTAGTTGAACATGAGAAAGAACCATGAGTCGTCTACATTGGCTTATAACAGTGACGTGTGGGGGGAAACGAAAAATTATTTCTACTTCACGTTCCAAGTTCAAATCTTTACTGCGATTGCATAATACCATCGTTACGATATTCTGGTTCAACGTTCTTATATTACGATACTAAGTCGACAACTTTTTCAAAATATTTATTTCAGTTTTTTTTTTCGTGGAAGTCAATGATTCAAGCTGTTATCTAAATGTAAAAGGAAAAAAAATGTGAACATGAATAATACAAGTTCAACATTGCGCTAAAGCGTTTTTTTTTTTTTTTTTTTTTTTTTTTTTTTTTTTTTTTTTTTGCATTTTATCAACAGAACCAAAAAAACTCAAGAAAAATAAAATACCTTTCTGTGACATTCAAATACGGAAACGAGAAACTCGTGATATACAATGTGAAATACGAACAATACATTGTAAGGTTAAAGGTAAGAGCTCGAGAAAAAGAAATAACTCCGAAAACGGATCTAGATTAATAAAATTCAGGTCACGTGATTATCAGTAGAATTCTGAGAAGTTCGTCAAAGTACAAAATAAACGAACGTACATACAAGCAGAAGTCTTTTGGTATGTAAAACGGACAATACCAATTGACCCTACAAAGAGGCACGCGTATTCAGTTAGGCGCGTTTTAATTAATGCTTTGTTAGTGCCCATCATACGGGATAGGATTCGAAATTTTAGTTCTCATTTAACACGCAGAACACGGTTACAGGTAATAAATATTCCGGTTTGGAAACATTAGTTTGAATGCTTATCCTTTCTTAAGATGTTGATTTATGGATGTGGCAACAGTATTCTGTCATTTATTTTCATCAAAAGTGATTGTAAATCCCCGGCAGCAGAATTGTCGAACATAAGAAAGCAACGCGCTTTAATTTAGGTAGTTCTTTATTCTTTAATTTTTTGATTTGTAGTATTAATGATTTTTTTTCTTTGCCGTTTGATAAGGCGGTATGTGATTGTATCGAGTGCCAAAAAAAATTCCGTATTAGAATTTCGTCACAATATTTTGTTCGTTGGTACTTATGGGAATATGTTAAACTAAGTTTGCTGCGAAATTCAGCTTAATTACTTTCATATTTAAATGTTTATGCCATCATCCAATTAGTCATCCATTTATCGTTACAAATTCTTTATTTTACTAGGACTATTTTGTTTGTGAGTTATACAAATGTTTGATATCGGACAACTAAGCCCTTAGCTTGGGCTTAGTGTTCCAATCAATATGAAGAACATAATTCAAAAATGTTAAGGTGGGTTTGATTAATTGATGCTCTTTTATTCTTAATAGCATCAATTTTAAGCTAGTTTTATGCAGTAAAAATATGCATAAAAAAATATTCATTTGCTCATAATATTAATGCTTTGATCAATATAAATATAGGACATTTTTTTTGAATTTTTCAAACAAAAAGTTAAATTCATTATGAAATTTGTTTTAAAAATTTCTTAAACATACAAATGTATAAATATTATACGTTAATCTTATTTGTTTAAGCATCGAAGTACGATATTTATGAGTGTTTTTCTAACAATGAATTTAGACTAACTTTTTAATAGAATTTAAAATGAATAGATTGAGAAAATATTTAACATTGAATGAAAGATAATGCCAATACTGTTTTTAATCATAATAAATTATGTATAAATTTTCTCTAACCTAGTTCATTGTTAAAGATGTAAAACATAACTAATGATCGATTTCTTTCTTTTACAGGATCCCCTCCTGGAGGCATGTTCTATGATTCTAATATGTACAGTACACCTCTGTCTTTGCTCCAACTTCCACCAACAGCCCTTCCTGAAATTACGCAAAAACTAACACAGGCTGGTAACACCACAGCCCGTTTTTCACAAGACGGGAAAACTTTGGAAGATCTCAAAGGCGTGGTGTCCAACAACGACTACCAACAAGCGGCAGAAGCTGAAGTGGACGTGGGATTCGTTTGCAAGAAGTGTCAACTGGTCCATCCAGCTGAAGTTCTCTGCCTCAACCACCAACGCTCCAGCTGTTTTGCCAATAAAGCTCCTGGAGAAAATACAAAGGCAATATTGCGGCTAGTGCAAGTGCAGTTGGAGTGCCGAGCTTGTCGAGAGAGATTTCCTACCCTCCTCGACTTCAAGTTCCACTGCAATGCAGAAAGACACGTCAAAAGAGTGCACAAGTTGCAGCGAAGTGAGCAGGTGACGCCTCCTAATTCTATGGCACCACCTAATTCCATGGTGCCTCCCAATTCCATGGTGCCTCCCAACTCCATGGTGCCTCCCAATTCCATGGTGCCTCCAAATTCCATGATTCCACCGAATTCCATGATACCTCCCAAGTTACCAACCTGTTCAACGTCATCACACTTCGCTGCCACTCCTGTTGCGCCTTCCATGACGCCTCCACGTCTGGCACCACCACCCCTGCTTCTGCCACAGACAGGAAATGATGTCACGACCAGGAATGGTCCGGACGTTACAGCTCAACACCTTATGTTTTCGTCCGATTTTCGAAACGATCTGGATAGTGCTCTTAGGCTTGGGCTCGAAGCTTCTTCTCTGGACCATCCGGCTTCTACGAAAGCCGGACTTTGTTTCTCTGGAGAGGCGACTCTAAGTCCAGAAACTAAACGGATCTAATGTTCCAACACTGCCTTTTAAGGAGGCTTTACAAATGGTTAATGTATTCCTAAAAAAATTTTGAAGAATTTATTCCTAACAAAGAAAGTGATTAAACTGTTTTTAGGTTGTTGTTTGCGATAGCAAGAATATTGTCCTCTTTTATAAACTTCGATTCCTAAAACTTTGTTTCAAATCGCTGTACCCGAGCCCAAGCCAAGTGGGTAAGGTCGTGACTGAATTTTCCTATAAATAAATAAATATATATATATCTATATTAAAGAAAATAACTTTGCCAGATTTTCTTGGCTGCCTAGAGACTGCTGTTTTCTCCTCGGCAGATATCCAGAGTTCCTAGAATTGAGAAGTGGCTCAAGCAAAGCGTGAAACTTTTTGTGGTGGACCAAAAAATTAATTTACTAGCTGCAAAAAATTCACAAATGATTGTGGAATTAAAGTAAAATGCTATAACAGAGCGTTGCGCGCGATTCCGGCTCCGGTGCTCGAAAACTTCGTTATGTTTCCTATTAATCAGATGGAGCTTCATAAAACAAAAGTGTCATCAATTTTTATTCTACAAAAGAAAGCTTTTTATTTTCTTTTTATGTACATATCTGTTGGTTTCATGTTCCGTTGTTTTAGTCAAAAGCTACTTCCTAGAGTTATTGAACATTCGTTATGAAACAAAATTCGTACATCAGAAGAACGTACTTCAGTTCCATTGTGCATACTACCTATATATTAATGACTACATATAATATATACATAAATATTTATTACATTTGTTAAAGATTACTTTGTTAAATATGATTTTTATAATATTCAGGATCTATATTGATGATCGGCAATAGTTCTTTTTAAAAGTATATTTGGTTGTTGTAGTTTGTTGCTGCTAAATTGTCTTGAGGACTCCACAAAAACTGGGTGACTAGAGCTTCAAGACACCTCTTGAATTTTCTTTTCGATCGTTTGCACCAATGGAGATGATTACAACAGCGTGCATACGCTCACAGTGTTTATAGATGTTTTGTTTGATAACATGGAAAAAAAATTCTTTTTAGTGTAAATCTAAATATTAGAGTTGTGCTTTTCTGTAGGTGTTTGCTTCGATTAATCTAATTTTTGTTTGTTTGTAAGACAACAACAAAAATTTGCACAAATATTCGTTCAACAATGTGTTGTTTGTTATCCAAGTGGTAGTCATAGTATGCCTCGTGATTTAATATAGCAGAATAAAAAAGAAAATTACAACTTCGTGTATACTAAACGGTGCGAGATGATTATTCAACTCGTTGGTTCCTTAAATGTTGCAGCTTGAGCAGATTCTGATTGGTAGTTGTAAAATGACGTCATATTAAGAGAAAAATAAAGAACTTTGTGTGCGCCACAGCCTGGTGTGTCTGAAATTCGATACTATATCGCGTTCCTGTGAAATAAACAAACACAAAATCACCCGTAGGCACAAAAAATACACATAAGCCGTATCATGTGTCCAACCGTTGGCCATTGGTCAAGCTAAAAGTTCCTGTGTTTTTTTTTACATCGAAGAGGTTCTATTTGCAACTTGTTCTATTTGATGTTCTTCTTTGAAATTAAAAATAAATGCAAACAAAAAAAAATTAGTGTTTGTGTGTATGTTTATGTGTGTATACGTGAGCGTGCCGATGTACTAAATTGTGCACTTCCGTCTTGCCCTATGTTCAACGGAGCTTTACGCCCCGGGATATTTTCAAGACATAATTTTCCTTCCCTGATTTGAAATAAGATTTGACCATTTGTACAATTTTTAAAACTATTAAAATAAGCATAAAAATAACCACTGGGAAAACAGAAAGCTGCTGAAATTCTGCAAGATTAGTTCGAACATATTTACATGGAGAAAAAAATCTAATAAAATTACCGCAATTATACAGTAATGATATTTTTGGAAAAAAAAAGAATCATAATTCCAGTTATGAAACCAAAATATAAGGTATTTAAAATATTCATTTGGTCTTTTTTTTCGTTTGTGTTTTAACGGTTTACCACAAATCCTGGTTTACAAAATTATTCACACATACCTTAATCTTAATATCACCCATTTAGCAAAATTGCAAAACTGAAAGATATATTTAATCAACTAAATTATGCCATGCTCCAAGGTATCATGACAAAATTACCACATTTATAACCAAACAAAATGGTAATAAAACCATATTTTATGGTCAATTTTAACAAAAATCATTACCAAAGCACTTTGGTAAAAACAACTGTGCTTTTTGGTGTTTCCTTAGAGCCATTAAAATTTTATATTATTATTTATCCACTGATAATCAATAAATTATCCATAAATTTTATTTATAACAATAATTTTATATTTAAATTATTAACCCGTACCAATTTAATTCTAATTAATTATTTACTGTTTATTAATTAAATAATCATTGACCTTAATAATAATTTTTAATTGGAATTTTTATATTTTTACTATGGTTATATTAATTTTTAAATTTTTTATTTCTTGAGTTTCAATGACAATTAGGAAGAAATATTGTAATAAAGATATCTAAGTTTCGAATATTTAGTTCTTTATTTACCAAGAATAGAATAATTTAATAATTCATTTCTTAATTTTTTTAAAGATTTTTTTGGTAACACGAGCAAATTACAGTTGCATTTGAATTTATAAATATAAGCTTCCTTTTCTTAAATTAATTAAAGATTTAATGATACATACAATTAGTTATTTTTTTAAAAGTTTCAGTTACATCTACTTCTACATTTACCTTATCATCTTTATACTATAAGTATCGGATAACATAAATGAGTAATTTCTGTAAAACGTTTTGTAGGCAGGTATTGCAGCGGCTTTCTGTACTCCTTTTAGCAAATTCAAAAACTTATATTAAAGTTCAAAATCAGTTTTTTTTCATTTTCTGAAATTATAAATACATCAAAATTACGCTAAATTATTAAAATCAATTTTTTAAAGAAATTATAATTTTCCTCGATAAAATCATACCTATTGCATTGATTAAAAATAGAAGATGGTTGCAAAGTTTATGAAAAAAGTGCACGTTCGCGTAAAAATATGAATAAATAATTTTAGTTAATAAGAATTTAAACTTAAAAAACTCTTTCTATTATTTTTGGTATTAATGCAAATTTAAACCAATATTATGTGTTTATGAAGTTTAGCCTAAATAATAACTTAAATAATATTTTACTTAAATAAAAAAAATGGAATTATAATGAATTATTTTTTATGTGTTTATGTCTATATATTCTGCTTACTTATGAATAAAATAAATTTATTATTTGTATATTTTATAGGTAAATTAATTAAAGTATTTAATCGATAAAAGTTAACTATATTCATGACTTCTCTTGATATCATTTTAAAGCCCATATAAATATTGGTTGAACCTAGCTGTATTTGCTGGTTGTCATCAATATAATATTTATTCATGAATATCATTAAACATAAAAGTTCCTGAATAGAGTTTTATATTCATACAATATATTCATGATCTAAATAAGTTGACGATTCATAAATTATTTCATGTCTAATGAATTAACTTATTTAATAACTCTGTTCACCCTGTGTTTTATTGTTAAACTAATGGCTAATTTTATAAATCTGCATATTAATTAAAAGTTTTCATTAAAAATTATTAACTCATTGACAAAAATTAAAAATAACTATGAATTAAAATTTTATTTTTAATTGAAAATAATTAATTAATTAAATATTAATTAAAACTTTTTTGCAAATTTGAATTTATTATTAATTAAAAATTAATTATTGATTGTAAAGATAAAGTATATAATTATAAAGGTAAAATAAGTAGAAATAACTGGTTGATAATTTTATATCTATTGAATTAACTTATTTAATAATAACTCTGCTCATCCTGTGTTTTATTGTTAAACAAATGGTTAATTTGAATTTGATTCGTAATGATGCTTTTTTTTGATTTGTATTAATTGCTTGATAATTATAACTTGCAATATATTTTGTTCCAATTATGGATGATGATGGTTTATCTGAGTAAATTTAGTTTCAGCTTTAATTATTTTCTGTTAATAAAACTTTTCATAGAATAATGTTTACTGAGCAATGTCATGAACTGGTTTTGGTTCCTGTTTTTAAACTATGAAATGATTAATGATTTAAGGAAAACAAAGAACAGAAAACATGATTTAAGGAAATAAATCGTAATTGTTATTGTTTCATTGTGTACTTCTGAATTTTAAATATTTACTGTATTTTATGTAAACCGAAATGCTAGGAGATGCTTTCATGTTTTTACGACGAAACCGGCATTTACGACGCACTAAGTCTAGGAACCTATTCCATAAGAGAAAAACATTTCGCAAAGTAAATCACAATAATTTTTACCGGACACACAGGCACAGACGAATTAGAAATAATTCTGGAAAGTATATTTTTAAACCAAACGATTGCGTGTTCAAGTTAGGCGTAAAACTTAATTTGTATCGTATTTTAATCGAAAATAAAGAAGGAATTGATCGGCATAGCTATTGAGTGTGCGATCAACCAATCATTATTGTTTATCAGCTGCGGCTACCTCCACCATTGGTGGTTTTAACCAGTTCCTAATATATTAAGATCGTCGATGAAGTTGTAAGATGATATAATTACAAGTATGACCTGTACAGTACTATATAATAATAAATGAAGGTCCTGTTATTATTCGACATTTCAGCCTTGTGCTATAGGTTGGAAAAAGGAAATCTGCATATTAATTAAAAGTTTCAATTAAAAGCGATTAATTAATTATAAAAAATTGAAAAATAACTATTAATTAAAAATTATTTATAAATCGAAAATTAATTATAAATTGAAAATTAATTATAAATTGAAAATTAATTATGAGTTTAAAATTAATTATAAACTGAAAATTACTTTTTAATTCGATATTAATTGTAAATTAAATTTGGATTTAAAAAGCGTAATTTAGTTAAAAAAAACATTGTTTTTTTTTAATTTAAGTTTTTAAATTAAATGTTATTAAGTA